TTAATGCATTAACTAAAAGATCTCAGATTTAACTCTTCTGGTGTGGCTTTTTTTGCGGATCAGCACCTTTCCATTTGCCGGGTCACATCTCAAATTTAACTCTTTTGGATATGGCTTTTTTTGCGGACCAGCACCTTTTCCATTTGCTGGGCCACTGAAACCGCATCTACAGCTGACATACCAAATAGTTGCACAATTAACTTCTCGAACTTCGAGGGTCAGTATGTTGCAGGGTTAGCTACTGTGACATAGTTGCATAATTAACTTCTCGAACTTCGAGGGTCAGTACTTTGTAGGGTTAGCTATTGTGAGACTTCTCGAACTTCGAGGGTCAGTATGTTGCAGGGTTAGCTACTGTGATTCCTTGCGATCTTGCTACGGCACGAAAAGTGCAAAAACGCATAATCGCACCGGCCCGTGGTGCGTTCCAGCCTGGGTTTATGCGTTTTTGCCGTGCAGCGTTAGAGCGCTGCAACAGGCAGCAAAAACGCATATTGGAACGACTACCGTATACAGTAGGTCACCCTACACTTGGAGCCGTTTGCTCCTGGCTTCGTTCGGTTAGCCGCCTCTTTCTTCTTTTCATTATACCGCTTTCTGTGGTGTATGTAGGAATCACCAATGCAAATTCGCTACTCACCATGAAGCTAAATTTATCTTCGTGGTTTTACGTACCCCAATCGGCACAGTGGGTCGACCGGATGAGCAGCTAGCTACCTGCGTCCGGTTCGAGCCTTATGACTACAGGTGGTTGGCCGTTTGGGGATGAGCATGCGCCTGTGTCCCCTGCACGCCCATGGACTACAGGCGCAGCTTCCCGCGCTATTTCACCCCTCTACTGCGTGACCTACGCTAATGGCAATTACGACATTTCTTTTCATCGGACCAACCTTCTTCCGGCTACAGGTTCTTGCGGACGTAACTGCGACTGCTGTTACATGTTCTCTCACGCATCCAGTATTCGCAGCTTTACTTCCAGTAAGCACTTCGCAACTTCTTACCCAGCACCCCGCCAAGCTCCCACCTACCTAACCCACTGTGTTGTGTACTGCATTACCTGCACATGTTGCTGTTTACAATGTGTTGGCCAAACAAAACGAGCACTGCTTGTTAGGGCTCGTGAACATAAACGTTGTATTAATCGAAATTCCTTCAATAACCTGCTATACACCCACTTTCACAGTGCCGGACATTCTGACCGTGATATGACTATCCAGGTCCTTGAGACTGTAGATGATGTTAGTCGGATTACAGAGGCTGTATTTTACTGGACTTGTTTGCTGCAGACCATTTATCCTCTTGGGCTTAATGATCATATTAAAGGTTTCGGGGTTGTTACACAGAATGCAGTATATAGCCGCAGGATCATCCCTGATTTCGTCTGCCACGCTCACATGGTTGTAGACGCCGTACTTCCATCGTCATTAACAATGCTTTCATTGACACTGCACAACCTTTCGACAGCGCCCAAGAATACAAGCCTTCATACGTCTTCTTCACGGTCAAAGTAATGGCACCCCCTCCAACTCACACTCGGACGGTTAAACAAATCCAATCTGCATGGAGCCCTTGTTTGGTACATTCTTAGTTCCTTCCTTAACACTAGACGACCGCCTCTATCACCGGGTCGTAGCCGTGCAAAAGTATTTTATGGCGTCATGCCTTATCCTGGCCCTGCTTATGACGGCTTAAGCTATGGCAGGCTCGTTCACAACCGCGCATTCCGACTCCTGCGTGATGGCATGTCGATTCCTCGATTCATCGCAACTTTCAAATACGATCTTCCTCTTGGCCGCCTATTTTGTAACCATTTTTCCCTATTACGTGAACTCGACATAGCTCCCACTACGCTACGATCTTCCTTCACCCGTTACTACTGCTTTAACTCCTTCGTTTATGCGCCTTTTGGTCACATACTTACTAGTGACACACGCATTTTAGGTTACCTTTTCCTAGAAGATTATTTTAACCTTGGCTGTAACTACCGCCTACCTAGAAACATACATCCTACTGATGTTTTAAACCATTTCAACACAAGCTTCTTAGCATCACACAACTACTTACCACATAATATACCCTAGAACCCGCCCGAGTACAGACCTACCGTGATGACGTTTTATTCCGTGTGCATTGCCTGTTAGAAATTTTCTACATCAACGCTCGGCCTATCCACAACATTATTCATTCCATTCTTCTTAGTCGTGCTTCCTGCCAGCGTCACCGCCTAGTTATTACACCTGTAGACAAAGCACCTAGTAACTATGCATTCATTTGTAAATTCTTGTACATAAACACCTTGCGTCGAGAACTCAGCATAAAAGAAAACGGTGAGGTCCTCGGTAACGACACTTATATTCCTGTTCATGATAATGCTTCGCAGATAGTCGCTAGCCACGATAAACTCCTACGCACTTTCCAACTTAGTCTAGATGAAAAAAATAAGGTTCTCCCTTTCATTTACGCTGTACCTAAGATTCATAAAAACCCCTATAGCTTCCGTTTTATCGCTTCTGCCACTCATTCCAGTATCAAGCCTTTGAGTATACTTTTGCACCGCATTCTTCAATTCTTTCGTCAGCACCTTCGTAACTACGCGGCTGCTGCACAACGTAGATTACGCAAGTGCCTCTTTCATAGTGTGCGTAATTCCGGCGAGGTACTATCCTTCATCAACGAATGCGGACCTGTTAATCACTTACACATTGAAGACTTTTCCACCCTTTCCACAAATCTCCCGCATCACGTAATCTCTGACGCCCTCAGCTATCTTTTCACCTTGTGTTTTCATAATGCCCAATCTGATGCTCTTCTCATTACCCCTAAAAGCATCTTCTATGCTGGGTGTCTCCGCCCCCAACGTTCTGGATCCGTTTACTCACGTGCGGAAATAGACGGCATCCTCCGTTCCGTTGTGCATGAGTCATACGTACGCTTCTCTGACTACATTTTTCGCCAAGTTAAAGGCGTCCCCATGGGTGGCAGTGCCAGTTCCGACATTGCCGACCTCACTTTGTCGGTACTAGAATTTAAGTACAGCAAACTTCCTACTAATCCCCCGCTTCTCCTCCGTCGTTATTTCGATGACATTTTAGCCCTCAGCTGCCCGGACTTTCCTCCCCTTCGCCTAAGCATATATGGCTAGGAATTAGACATAGCTTGTACAGGTTCAGGTACCACCGTCAACTACTTGGACTTGATCCTTTCCATAGACTGCAATACTCGCATTGCCTCTTCACTTTACTGTAAGACCAATTTTTTCACCTTTCCTATCATTAAATACTCCTCTCTTCGCAGCAATTTACATCCCTCTGTCCACAGCGGTATCTTCTATAGTTTGGTTATTGAATCCTCTTATCAAGGATTTATCACATCCGCTTGTCGTCTTTTTCTCCACTACTTTCATAAAGGACTTCTCACAAAATTAGTCGTCTAGTGAACATATTTGTACGCAGAAATACCTACCAGTTTGCTAAGTATTCCCCTCCTACGGTGGCCCTGTGTCACCAGCTCATACACGCTCTTCTACAATAATTGTATCACCCATCATACCCGCATACGTCGCTTTATTAACGTTCCGTTCACATAGCTATTTCCTTCTCTCCATACTTTTCCACTTTATATTGCAACTTTATAATCTTTTCCAACTACTCTTAATTTGGTATAATTAAAAAATCTCTTTTCTATCTTTCTCTCCTTCTTCTCTCTTCCTGCCTTCCATTCCTTTTTCTTTCCTCTCTCTCTGAACACCGCGACCGTCATACTGACGAGGTTCAGTTGCAGTATTAAGCTAAGACGTATATGACTTAATGGACCGAAACGTCTTAATTCTTACTCATTTTTCCTACACCAGTTTTATTTCTAGATCTATACATACACATTTCGTTCTATTCCTGCCCTATTTAAGTTCTTTATATTACTCGTATGCCACAATCATGCTACAATCAGCTTAGGCTAGCCTGTGCCATCCTTCGAATACGGCTGAGACGTGGCTTCGTTCATTCTTTCTTTCTAAACGAGCATATTAGCAACCCCCTTGCGTTCGGTATTTTACCTACGTTGGATAGATCAAGAACTGTTGCTTTGACCAAGCTCATCCACCACTGCGTCTCTAGAAAGGTTTGTCGCAAATCGCATGTTTAAATTGGCCGCCCGTTGCCAGCTATTGTTTATTCGGCACAAGCACATAAAAGCCTTTCTACGATGTCATAAAAAGCATTTCTTAAGAAAAGCTCAGAACTGCACAGTGACAGCCTTTGGAATACTTTCGCGGACATCAGAAACAGCAAAAGAAGGTGCAAAAATTATTTGAAATAATAGTTGTAAAAGTAGCTTCCAATGACCGCTCTAAGTCGTTTTATGTTCACTGCAGTGATGGAAAAACCTTGCACATACCACAGCAAAAAAAAAGTACGGAATTTGAAGAGAATCTTGATTTTGTTGTCGTTTTTTTGTTAGTTGTGCATAACATTCTTGCCAGATGATGTTAGCTCAGTGAGCAAAAATCGAACCTGGATGCAACTGAAGCAGTAAGGCCTGTAAAGCTCTGAAAGGTAAAACTGCATCAAAGTAAACTATTCCGGAATTTGACTGAAAACACGTTCCAGTCGCAGGTGTTTAAGACGTGTGTTTTCTAAATCTGATTCAATTCAAACTAACAGTTGAAATGAGCAAGTATGCGCACTCACGAGCGGATCAAAGTTTCTGGTACATGTTGTTTATCAAAAACACACAAGAGTAACCATAGATCACTGTTTTTAACCCCGTCAAAAATCCACCTACTATCCAGAACCAATAGTGAGAAGCCGGGTTTAGCGCCTCTTTTCGTGGGCGAGTACTTGAAGTCAACGAAGACAAGCAATACGAAGATGCGCACAGTGACAAAGGTCATAAAGAGTCAAACAATACCGAGGCACTTTAACAATCAAAACAAGACTCTGCTGGTGAAAGTACTGTGTCTGATAGTTGTCTGGTCGGTGAATGTATCGTTATCGCAGTACTCATCATATTCGCTGGTGCAGAGGCATGTCATGAGGTGCTTTCTTCAGGATCCCTTTGATGGTTGTGCGCAGCTGAGGATTAAACCAAGTGTAGATGACCGGATTCCACACAGCAGATGTCATTGCAATTACGTGGCACAGAGCAAACAGTATCGAAAACAGCGAAGAAACGCCGTAGAAATCGCGTGAAAGATTGATGAGGTTGAGCGGAAGCCAGGCGAGCACAAAACTTAGTACCATACAGACCATCATTCTGCAATACAAGCTGAGATCACCAATAAGTCTCTGCACTATATACAATAAAGTATTAATTCAGCTTAGAGTACCAGCAGCTACTTCGATTCACTTTGTTCCTGCTTCGGAACAATGCTTCAACCCGAGACTGAAACAAGCAGCCCAGTCCAAGTTCAGTCCTGTTTATCAGCATCAATACTACCCTAACGAAGTTTTCCTTATTATGACACTGACTATATTTCAGCTACACTAGTCCCTAAACTAATCGCCTCTGCACCAAATTTCTCACTTTTTGCGCGATTCAGTAGCCCAACGGTCTCTCCTCTATCTGCCCATAACTCCCTCCCCTCTGTCTAATTTTGGCGCAGCTGCTGTGTACAAGAAAAAGATCGCCCTTGTCACAATTCCTTGGATCGACCATCTTTTCGAAAAAGTTGCTGTGTGATGCAAGAACCTCTGACACTGCGTGAACATTTTCAGTTCGTGAACACTTTTAGTTCACGCTTAATTTCGTTGTTCTCAAGCTGCACTGGTCTTTAATACCCTACACCACGTCTTACTGATGCAGAATATCAAGCTGGAACCCAGGCTGGCCGGGTGGGCCCGTGCGATCATGCACCGGACTTGAAGTACTCAGGTCATTTACTGCATGAATGTTTGTTGCTTTACACCTACCTTTTGCGGCCGCTAGCATAAATCACCGTAAATCTTGCATAAAGTAAATGTACAGCTTCCATTTAACGGTCTCTCTTTAAAAGTAACCTAGCTGTTCAGTGAGAAATTTTTCCGCCAAAACTTTAAGTGCGCGTACGTAAAAACCATGCATATTTCAAGGCTGAATTTGAAATACTTAAGTTGGAGAGGGAACACTCCCCGAAAATTTCAGCTTTCTAGCTTTTCTGGTTCCCGATTTAGTGATTTTCTCGCAGGAAATTTCATACGCCCTTACGTGACTACAACGCATAGCTGGGCGCTGAATTTGAATTCTTTAGCTAACACATGCACAGGGAACATCCCTACAAAGTTTCAGCCCCTTACATTATCTGGTTCCCGAGATCGCTTTCTCGTCAAAAAATTTTGCATATTTTTTTAAAGTTTCCGTACGCGACACCCAGGCGTCCGCGGAGGATGAAATTAAAACAAGATGGTCGCGCGTGGTATGGGCACATTCTCCCAAAGTTTCAGCCTTCCAGCTTTTGTGGTTCTCGAGTTGAAAGTGGGTGACACACACACACACACACACACACACACACACACACACGCGCATACACACAGCCTCTTCCCAATATACGCTTTTGCAATTTGTATATGTGCAAAAACGCATAAAAATGATGTATTTTAACTTACGGTAAAAAAGAAATATTTCAGTATAAATAAATGACCTAGCGTAGCTTACAAATCCGCTGCCCGGAAAGTTTTATGCAAATCCTGCTATAAGGAGATCTTGACGGTCCAGTTTTTAGCTGCGTGCTCACGCACCAAGCTCTCCTGTATTGCAGGATTTGCATAAAACCTTTTTGGATTCCACGAAAATACGGCACCGCTACTCATGCGATTTGATAGTGCTAGTAAAAATGTATAAAAAAAGATTTGAAACTACAGTCATTTGTCCGAAGATTTTTTGTATAATACTGCAGCCGAATTGACTGTTTTTTCTTAGTCATATGAATATTTCACAGTATCACTGACCACAAGGCTGGGATGCACTGAAGAGCAGCATTCTGCTGAGTTCTTTCTTCGCAGAATCAGTTGTTTGCTTTTGCTGACTTACTATCGGAATTTTCTTCCACACACTGCTCTCCCTCTCTCTGTATTATTAATATGATTTGTGTAAAAAATGTCTTCTCTTTAAAAATGCAGGCTTGCAAGATGTCTGGAACACACAGCGCATTCATCAAGCAATCGGCCGCACAAACATCTTGGTCTGGTGGTACTGCTCGTTTACTTATTCAGCTTAAAATTTTCTGAACGCCTCACCAGGTTAAACATTTATAAATGGTAATCCAAACATTTGCCAGTTTCCTTTATTCACTAGCAAAAATTTTCCGAAAGTATCACTCTTAGAAGACCCCGACTTATTCCACTGAATAAAATAGGCTCTCAGCAGTGGTGGAAACAAACGGACCTGTTAGACCGGGCTCTCCGATCGTGCAGCCTCTTCTCGTTTTCTTTCAGCAGAAATTGCTGCTCTTTTCGTTTTTCAATTTGCCGCGAAATAACTCGACTGATTGTCCAGTAACATAGTGTACAAATGATTACCGGTACACCAAACTGTAGCGTCAACACCGACATTCCGTAAATACGCCCCATCCGTGAGCCACCTTCTGCGGTTGAATCTGGCCTGAAAACACTTTATCTCTGATTCCACTTATCCTACTCAATTCCAAGACCACACAGGAGTTTTTTGACGAATTTTAGCTTTTTCATTTTAACTAAGAAAATTAAACTTTTTAACTTCCAGAGCGAAATTCTAATTTCTAAAATATTTTATTTGATGCGGTGGAACGTGGTGGAATATAAAAGCTCATTTCAACTGCAGCCTCATAAAATTTCAGTTCTCTAGCCTGTCTAATTTCCGAGAAAGAAGGATACCGACAATTCTGCAAAATGAGTGTTTACACGCTCGAACGCAGAACACACGCGTAAACCTTTCATGAAGAATTTGGTTGTCCGCGTGCGGATGTGCACACAGATAACCAAAACCGTCATAAAAACACGGCTTACTAATCAGTATAATTTTCGATCAAAAGAGTCCCAACAAAGTTTAGTCTGGAACTTCACTTGCTTACGAAAAACACAGACGTGCTTAAAAGCTGAATATAAAATCCTTAGATAACAGGATAGATAACAGGGGCAGAATAACCTTGTAAATTTTCAACTTCCCAAATCACTTCCGGCCAAAATTTCGACTTGTAGGCATGCATAACGTCTGAATTTAAAGTTCTACGGTATATATTAAGGAAACAGCGAAAAGCTGAATTCTATGAATGCTTCTGTGAGGAGAATCGCCGAACTCGTGATCCTTTCAACTGCGAAAACAAATGAAAAAGAGAGACGGAGGTGTGGTTAATTTCAAAAGCATTTTTGGCTTTACTACCAAGATTTCAAGCTTGTAGTTTTTTGTTGTGAGATTTGCCTGGATTTAGGTGCAGAAGCACAAATTAAGAAGCAATCCGACCTGAAAGTTAGTTAGAGAGCCGAGGCACATCAAAATTTCCGGAGCTGCATTAACGCGATCGGACAAATAAGTATTTTTACGTCCAAATACACAAATACACACGTACATGCACATACAGAAACGTGATCGATTCTTGATACGCTTTTTTTGTATTTGTGATGTAAAAACGCATAGCCACTAACCAAAATTCTTCGCAAAAGATGCCGCAGTACGGAAAATATTTAACAGTCACAGAAAATATGCCAACAGGTAACGATAAGGCATATCCAACAGTCCAAATAGTTAATACAATACAAAGTGTTCGCTCAAATGTAAGTATCTGTAACGACATCTTCAGTATCTATTATCAGCACGTTCACGAAAACTGCAAAGCGGACACATCGAAAGCTACGCCCGCTCAAATGACAACAAAACCGGTGTGAACTGGACAGTGGTCGAGGAAGTAGTCACTGTGCAGGGAAGCTCGTAAACTTAACTAATCACAACAGAAAGGCTTCACCGCCTCGTAGTGGATTACAAAACGCGGTAAAGTATTTATTACTGCATCATAACTTGAGGGATCCAAAGGCAGTTAGGATGATCTTCATTACTGACTAGTCGACATGTTTACAAAAGTGGCTCCGTTCGCAGCACAGGATCGCGTGTAATCTTGCACATAGAAGAGATAAGTTATAACATTTTTTGTTTAAAGTATGTTTGCAACGATTTTTTTTGTATTCAGTAACTCATCAGCAGAAAATCTGCAACAATTTTTTTTTGTATTCAGTAACTCACCAGCAGAAAATATGCTTGCCATTACTAGAAATTAAGCAAGCACATCAAGCATTGCTTCTTCCCATTACTAATTGAAAGCCTTAAGAAAAAGATTCAATTTTTTGCGCCAGGCTATCGGCCTCGCAGTGTTTCTTTCTATTTTCAGTTGAAACTCTTTTGTCCTGTGGGTAACTGTATCGAACTGTTGCTACTTCATCCTACTGCGTGACAACGGCATCAAGGTAATGGAGGACTGTCCAGTCCACACAAAGAATAAAGTTGGTTCTCCGGGTACCACAGAGGAAATAGGATCGAAATGCACTTACTTCCTTGCTCGGGAATAAAATCAATAACAATCGATCAACAGCAATTGCAGTAAAAGTAAAACTAGAAACAAATATGCTGCCGCCCTGAAAAAATTTTTTACTTGATCAGCTGTAAATTTTTCAACCAGTACCTTAACAATTCGGCTCTTTCTTTTTAATGGCTCGGCACAAATTAATTTCAGAAGAGCTAGATTTTGAAGATTTTGGGGGACTTACAAGGCGGAGGCGAAAGGAGGGGGTGGAACAGACAGGAAGGGTAGTGGGGAGAACTTCCAGCATATTTTTGGATGTGCATTTTCACCAAAGCTTCTACTGACGAAAGCAGAACGAACGCTGGCGATGACAGAGAGAGCACTGGATGCTTGAAGTGGCTCATTTTTGCCATAAAAGAAAGACTTTCTATTACATATGGAGCGGCAAGGATGTTGTTGCGGTGAGAGGATTGTTGCTCCTTTCAAGCATGGCAGTTATATGGAGTCGCTACAAATACGGATTTGTTCCTGCCCTATACAGTTTCTGAATCTGAGCAGAATAATGAAAAAATGCTTCAGACAGTATCATCGCAAAATTATTTTGCTTAATTTCCTAAGCATCTTTTTATGCGTTTTTTGTAGCAATGCAATGCGAAAAACGCATATTGACGAGAGGTTGTCTGTGTGTCCGTGTGTCTGTGTGTCTCGTCTGTGTGTCTGTGTGTGCGTCTGTCACGCACTTTCATCTCGGGACCTATAAAAGCTGCGGGGCTAAAATTTCGGGAACTTAATCTACATGCACGTACCGCTCCCAATCCCCAAAATGGACGCCAAAACCCGCGTGGTACCTGCGTAGGGCCCGCCAAAGTTTTTTAGGGGTCAGTTCATAACTTGAGGATCTGAGAAGCTAGAAGGCTGAAATTTTGGGGTAATGTTCCCTGCCCAGGCGGCTATTAGTGGGCTCAAAACCAGCCCCCGCGTAAGCGTGGTACCCCCGTACGAGCCCGCCAAAATTTTTTTCGGGTAATTTCATAACTCGGGGTTCTGAGACGCTAGAAAGCTGAAATTTTAAGGGAATGTTCCCCGTCCAAGCAGGTGCTAATGAGCAATGAGCTCAAATCCAGCCCCCGCGTAAGCGTGGTACCCACATACAGGCCCCCCAAAATTTTTCCCGCGCAAATTCATAACTCGGGGTTCTGAGATGCTAGAAAGC